CCAGAAGTTCGAATCGACCGAAATCAGAGTTTGGGGAAGAAATAGTTGATGCGACAACCTGATGCCTGGTGTGATCAGTATAGCCTCCTCTGGGTAGCGCGGTAAGTTATGAGAGAATGTTTTGAAGGTACAGTACCCCCAAAAAGACCGTAATCTCTAGCTTGACTAGTTTTTCGAGCCGGACTGTGGAGGTGGAGACCAGCGGCATCCTGGCGGAATCCCGCTCACCAACTACTTCGAATTAACAGGGAAAACTCTTGGAAATCCGAAAATCCAGGTCGCCGCTCGACATTCTCCACTCTCTAGTTTCTTTCATCACGAAACATCCCGACGGACGTCCAGTTTGGAAGTCGGCACTCAACAGGAGCTTTTTTGGAGTAAAATTACACGACAAAAAGTATTCTGCATGTTCCGACATAGTCGAGCGAAAGGCAGATATCCAGAAGGACACCCAAGCAATTGTATCCTACTTTTATTGTGTTAGCGACATGCTAATGATTTTGATAGGCATGGTGAGCATTTTCTACTATACACCAGAACGGCGACCAGAGTTCTCTTCAACACTTAATTGTCGACCCACGAGTCAGGGAACATCAAGAGTTTTCACCATCATAATTACTGCATAGAATATTCGACTGACTCCACGTTCGAAACTAAGATTCATCATCAGGCTAGCTCACTTCGATGATACAGTATTAAGATCGACGTACCCCGGATTCAAGCATTAACCTTCGGCACTTTGATGACGACGTACCGAACGGCTCCCGATTTCAACCCGCAAAAGGTACAAACTCTAACTCTCTTGATGCTGTTCAGGACATGTACTCCATAGCTGTTGCATTATTGCATGCCACGTAAACCTGCAGATACAGTGGAAATCGACAAGGCTATTTTTTCTTCCTTAGCGTTGCTGGTAGTAGTGTGAACTTCTGTCAAAAGGATATAATTGTAGGGATGAGGAAGAATGTTCTGACCTCAGCCTTTGCAATGACATAACAATCATTTTTATTCGCCAGCAGCCTCGCAAATTAGTCCAGCGATAATTGTAAGTACATCTCGTTTGACTGACCACCAACCAAGGTAATACCATGATTGAGCCAGGTACTCGCAATCCGAACCACGTTTTACCGCCTCGCTCTTGCTCTGGCTATCTGAAGGGATTGTAGCGCCCTATGATAATATGGCATCTTAATGCTCCAGATGAGGACAAAGGGTCCAAGTACACCCGTACATGCGGATGTGAAGGGAGCGCTTCCGACCAGCTGGCAAGATCCGGGGTAGCTATTGCAGGGCCTCCCCCACGCTCTGCGCCACTACAAACCACAAAGGTGCGCATAAAAAGAAAGTAGAGGTGAGACTTGTTTCATGCCACGAATACGTCAAGAAAAGCCAAAATGGGGGTTGGAATCAATGTACAACCACCTAGCCTACTTTAGCATGAGATCTGAGTATTTTTGAGGACTTGATCGCCCGAAAGTAAGCATTTGTAAGGTCAGTTCTGCTGATTTTGTAGTTTTCGAAATAAATGGATGATACGAAAATGTACCTGGGTGATACCGAATTGTGAAGGTCAACTGGGGTGGGGGAGTGTAACCTTCTGTCTCCGGATCTGCAACCGATGGATTCCAGAGGCAAAGCTCGCATATTCAGAGCATGGAGTAAGGGGTACATGGTACCTTTCATATCCTATGCATCAGCCCTCTCACTTTGAAGCGTTCTTGATATTGAAGTATCATGGCTAGTACTCTAAACATTCAGGAATATTGACTGACCTTCTGGATGGGTCGATCTCGTAATGTCCCAAAGAAGACAGGAATCGTGAGGTGTGCCATCGGAAGGGAAGCAACGGTCGGTCCCCCACATCCCCACGTTTCGCACCACCCGCAAGATGTAACCCTCCATTCCGGGGAACCAAAAAGTTGTTATTTTAAGATGGGATTATGTGTACGTTAGTAGGTCATACTCTGCCTGCTATAGCTTCCTGTTATCAGCTTGGATTTGCGTGTGCAACGATCAATTGATGAGTGGCCAGGTGCCCCGTACATACGACGAATATGCACCCCCGGATCCCTTTTGTCCTGATGCGCTGCGTGGACGGCCGTCCTTTTTAGTCAACGTTTTCATGGAGAAGAAAGGAAAGTCTCACAGGCACTGCTACGGTACAGTGGTACCTCGAACGGGGAAGTCAGGCCATGCCCCGCGTTTCCACAATGAGGGGAAGGGGAAGGTTCCATGATTGCCAGATTCAGAGAGACGAGATACGAGTGAGGTTGGGAGGACGAGCTGTCGATCAATCTAGACAACCGCGATGAGTCGCGATTTGGCGGTCCAAAGTCTTGCCGTTTCTCTTCATCCTCTCCAACTGAGGTTCTTACCGGTTTCAGCGGACGGCGTCGAGAGATATATTGAGGGATGAGAGTAGTGGTTTCCTTAGATTAAGAGCATGCGTATCTGCATTGTTTGATCGTGATGTGCAGATGTAGAATTTACACCCATGTTCGCGGTGAGCGTCGGCTTTTGCTCTGGGTCTTCGGTCTTCCTTGGTTCGTCCTAAACAGTTTCCTTATCGGGTATAGTCCGGACCGGAATTCTGGCGCGTTGCTGAGAATTACGTGCTTTTGCTTGCGTGGGGAAGATAGGCTGCCGTATTCAAGCCAATCCGATCGATGGCGCAAGCAAACGGAGCAGAAATCATAGGGAGCTCCAGTGCTTCTCAACACCATTATTTATTCTCGGTCGGTTTCTGGATCCAGGATGCGGTGAGAATCTGGGTTTTTTGCGTCCCATCACATCAGCTCAGCTGGCGAGGACTTGACCAGCTGCCAGCTGGATCATTCCGTGACTGTACTCCAGCAGCTGTATGTAAGCGTAAGACGACTAGATGGCGTTCGAGGCTTCCACTTCACCCGCATTTCCCCCATATTGTTGTAACCAAGGACGAGCCACACTCCTCTTTCCGAGATGTTGATTTTGGGATTGGCTTCTGGAGAAGGCTGCGGCGGGGGAGGCACCAATCAATCGATGCAGTGGTGGATGTAGGATAGAGGACGTTGTCGGCGTCAGGCCTCTGCGCGCTTCAGGATGTGCAAGAGAATAGCCAACGAAAGGGAAGAATTCCTGGAGCGAGCTCTAGGTTCGCTACGTTTACCTCCCTAGTCGAGATGATTTAAAGGAAATGGTGATGAAAGCTTTTACATCTTTCTTTCTCTGATATCGAGCACTTGCGGTGACGGTGAAGAGACGGGTTGTACAGCAGATGCAGCAGATGCATCATACCAGAGTGATAGATGTACCCAGCACGAATGACTCTCATGGAGCGATGGAGCGAGGAAGCGACTGACTCTTGTCACTGCGGGTCGAGTTTGACTGACGCAGCAGGCTGGCAGCAGGCTGAGTAGAGAGTACGAAGTACAACCGTGTAAGTAGTGCCTACTCTTAGTAGTGGGTGATTTGTCCTTTGTAGAGGATTTTGTGGCAGCATACTCCGTACGAACCTACCTAGGTAGTAGGCACATACCTAGGCGAGCTAGGCCTAGTACGTCGGTTGTCGGTTGTCGGTAGGCACCATTCGTACCAATCGTGGTCGTTCCTGAGGAGGAAAACCCATGTTTCCCCAGCAATCCCCGGCTGGATCCGCTTGTCTCTCAGGAGCCGAGGAGCCTCGCGCCTTGGAAGGGAGGAGGATCTGGAAACTACTTCTACTAGAGACACGCATATTATGCGATAAGACCACACGAGGAAATCTGCGAAGGGGAAGGGAAGGGAAGGGAAGGAGAAGACGAAAACTGAAAATTCCATCGGTCCCCACCAATGTTAGTAACTTAGTAACTGCTACTACTACTGGCCCCGGGCTCTCGTTTCCACTCCTCGCTCCTAGCCTCCACCCCCTGCTCGTCTCCCACCGTCCACCTCCGCAGCGTCTTCCTCACCCCCAAGCCGCCGGCCAAATCCCAAGACCCGCGGCCCAGCCAGCCAGAACTCACCCAGCCAGCCCACTGAACCCCCTTCTGTGACTGCTTCGTAGGGGCGACACACACTGTAATTTACTGTCCTCACTCCGTATCCTCACCGTCAGCCCACGCTGAAAGGCCCGAGGGAATCAAGCCGCCTTGCGCCCCAACATCCCCCCCTCCCCTCCCTCCCCCTCCACCCACGTCCCTTCCATGCCTTCCCTGCTTCTGCTTCTCTGCGCTTGCTCGCTCGCTCGCTCACCACCCACAGGGCGGCAGGGCAAGGAGCGAGTGCGAGGAAGGGGTGAAGAAGCAGACCCATCCCCCTCCGCTTCCTCCACTTTCTCCCTCGCCCACAACCACCTGGGCACCTCGAACTAGGGAGAATCTCAGCTTGAGTCTTGTCCTTTCCGGGCCATATTTTTCATAATTCGTCGCCGCTATCACCGACGGTATTAATACTGAGTGACCCCCTCGCCCTCGGCACCATTTTACAAACTTGCCCAAACTGCACCACTCCATCTTCAACTAAAAAAATCGTCGACACGACATCACCCTCACCCTCACCCTCATACACCCGCCCACACCACATCACTTCCACCACTTCCACCACTTCCACCACTCAACCCACAACCCACAACCCACAACAAACGCTTTTGTTCGTCGTCAACAGCACAACCTGCTCTGCTCCATCCACCCCGACTTTTCGAGCAAAACACAGATTCCATCACATACGCCATTGCGCCTTTCCGAGCATCCCCCATCTTCATCGTCCCTCCTTTTTCTTCTCGCCTTCAACGGTAGAAATCGTTTCGAACACCGAGTACCCGTTTACACCCCCATCGCAGCCGCGACCCCACGCGGATTTTCGTCAACCTGACCCCATTCTGCATTCGATAGATAGATTCCAGCTCTCGCTGCGGCGGCGATCATATGCAACGCGCATCTTCGGCAGTAGATTTTAATAGTCTGCTGAATCCGCAGTCTTCCATCGAGCGAGATCAGGAAGCCGCGAGAAAAAAACTGGCCGATCTGCAGCAAGAGGCAGAAATGGCTGCCGTCAGTATGATGCCCGCCATGCTTGGGGGCCAGCACGGCGACGACCGACAAGATCTACCACGACCGTACAAATGCCCGCTCTGCGATAAGGCTTTCCACCGTCTCGAGCACCAAACCAGACATATCCGCACCCACACGGGCGAGAAACCACACGCGTGCCAGTTTCCCGGCTGCACCAAACGATTCTCGCGATCCGATGAGCTGACTCGACACTCAAGGATACACAACAATCCCAACAGCCGGAGGAGTAACAAAACCACACAGGGAATGCCTCAGCACCATGGTCATAACGGTGGAATGGACCATGGGCCAGCGATGGCGACCATGATGCCACCGCCAAAGAACAATATGACCAGATCGGCTCCGGCGTCGGCCATTGGATCGCCCAACGTCTCTCCACCACACTCCTTTGCTTCGTACTCCACAGCCATTCCTTCTGGTCTCAATCCGTACGGGGGACGAAGTCTGGCGGGCAGCCCAAGCAACGGAGAACTAGGTGTGAATCTTCTAGCCACCGCTGCAACACAAGTCGAGAGAGACAGCACGTTAGCGACGCACCATCCACACCACGGTTCCAGACACCATCCGTATTATAGCCACAGTAACCATAATAGCAGGAATCACCTCCCTTCCCTTTCTGCTTATGCCATGTCAAGATCGCACTCACACGAGGATGACGATCATTACGCACATCGACATGCCAAGCGATCCCGACCAAATTCGCCAAATAGCACTGCTCCTTCTTCTCCCACCTTCTCTCATGACTCTTTATCTCCTACGCCGGATCACACCCCTCTCGCTACGCCAGCTCATTCTCCTCGCCTGAGACCTTACGGAGGCGGTTACGATTTACCAGGTATTCGTAACTTGTCGCTCCAACACACTCCAGCTCTTGCACCCATGGAACCACAACATCTCGATGGACAATATCACAATTCCACTCAAGCGACCTCTGCTCCAAGAAGCGGCTTAACGATTAGCGACATCATGTCGAGGACGGATGGAACGCAACGAAAGCTACCCGTCCCGCAAGTGCCCAAGGTTGCGGTTCAGGACTTGTTGACGACCGGCGAGAATGGTTTCAACTCGAGTGGCCAGAGCAGCACGACGGGTAGCATCGCAGGCGGTGATCTCATGGATCGCATGTAATTGCAATTAGAATGGGTTGGGCTTCACGACGGCAAACGGTGGAACTGGCCGATGGGCGTTTTGTTGTTGGAATCTATACAACTTATGACTAGGGGACAATTAATATGAGGATCACTTCCGAGTCGAATTGGGAAACATCCTCTCGTGTCTCCCTGGAATTTCCACTCTGTTCGATGTTCAGCCAGTCATGTCAGACTGGCTGGATGCATTTGATTTTTGGGACTTTTAAACTGGGCGATGGTGTAAACATAGATGGGGTGCGGTATAGACTTTTGCTTTTTGGTGGTGTTTCTCCACCTCCTCCCTCCCCTTTGCGGGAGATGATCAGCGTGCGTTGATGGCCTTTTGACGCGTTTGTTTGGCCGTTGAGTTACAGACAATTATTTCTTTTTATTTTACGAGGCCCGTCCTACGGTACTTGCCCGTTTCGTCACGAGTGCTTTGTTCCAGCTCCATATTACACACAATTAGATGGTCTGGCCGGGTGGCCGGAGGGCTGGGTCTCAAATGTTCTGCTTTGGTATGATGATTGGTAGCATGGGGCGTCCCAGGTACATTGGAGTTTAGAGTATGTTGATTATTTTGGCCGTCGCTCCTCAGGGGCTTGACTTGAGCTCAATGTTTGTGTGTGGTCTGCATGTAGCTTGGAAGTGGAGAGAAACGAGCGATCTGACAGAAATACTATTCTGCTCAATTTGAACCGACTACCGTCTATTTTTTCGTGATCTATCATTCGTTTTTTCCAACCGTGACTGGGGAACTTGGAGAATACTCACGGATACAAACAGAAGCGAACATCAGGGAGTGGTAAGTTGACATCGGTCCGTGGACAGTATTATCGGCCACCGCCTAAATGAGAGGGTTTGAGGCAGTCACGGGTATTGAGTGTGCCCTATCTCAACGCGGGTTCAACCAACTCGGAGGCTGGACTTACGAGTGCGCTTGCGAGTTGTAGCACGTCAGCATATGAATCCTGCGGACGGAGCAGGTAGATTCATAATCTAGGTACCACTTCAGGGTCAATCTCCGAGGCTTCTTTTCTCCTGGCTTGTGCTATAGGTGTTCTCTATTGAGGTGTGGAAATCGGCACACTCCAATACACGCACAAGACTTCGGAGGATATCTATCTTGAAAATTCCCAGCTGAAACTTTTGCAGTATTCAAGTGATAGGTGAAAGACCAGAACATCACTTGCATCTTCACAACAGCATCTAATGTTCGTTGCCGGTTGACCTGAGCCCCATGGCTGACCTCCAGTTGGTGAGCATTAATCAGTATCTAGATTGCCTTGCACGTTATAGTAACCCGAATTGATACATATACTTTTTTCTCATGCGGACTTGCGGAGCCTCATAAAAAGGAAGAAGGCTTCATTGCAAGGATGGATTTTGGTAGCCAGCAACAATCTGGGGAGTTCTCGTCATCTATTGCCATTAAGCCTCCCCCTCCGTTCGTGGTGCCTTTGATTCTCGGCTTCGAAACTCCGCAGAGCGTATGCGTCTAAACCAGGTAACGCTCGATCTCCATTATACTTCGCATGCTGCGAGTCTGCCATGGCGCACATGTCAACGTTTAAAAGTTGGATGTGTATCAAATCCGGGGTAATTGTGCGGACCAATCTGGGGTAAGAAGCGCTTCCACATGCAGAGGGAAAAGGGCTAGAACTGCTCGCCTACCATACCTACATTGTCGCATCCAAAACCTAGGACGGATGGATGTATGTTCTCATAAATTGTTTCAGTTCAACCAAACGGGTGGCTAAGCGAGGCGGAAAGCTAATACGCACGCAATTGTACGTATACTTCGTGCTTAACCTATTCACGCTATCTCGACCCATATTGGCTCATGAGTATGGTAATGAGCTCAACGTCGGATTCCAGATCACACAAACCCCGGTACCAGACGAACGCGGCTGCACTTTTCCCCTCCGCCTGGACTTCGGAAGGAACGGAAGGGTGAGCCTATTCGGTAAGATGCATGTCTTTGCATGCGTCTGGGATCGAATCGAGCTTCTCGAAAATCGTGGTGACATTGTCACCAGGAGGAGGTTCTTGCGGTGTGCGAAAACCTGGCCCAACCCTACCCGGGGTCAGCCCCCATCAAGAACGGATTGTCTTGTCTTGTATAGCAAGTGGGACGTTGAATGGATGGAATGATTGTTTGATCGTGAGCCTTGAGGAGGGGCGGATTTTACCGCTGCGGGAGGGGGAGAAGCGAAGTCTTTCTTATATTATTGTGCATTTCAAGCAGGGTGTCACATATGCAGGAGGTTTGTCCGATCTTCCAAGAGCTGGCGATGCTATACTCTGATCGGCCGGCAAAGATGAGCCGATGCTAGGATGAGATATCAAATGGACGCATGTAACGACTTCATACAGGATATATTGTGATATGGCCGTTGAGATCATATTGTGTAAAGTACTTGTTGGTACAATGCCTAAGAAGTCATGTTGATTCGACCTCGGATTCTTTGGATGCGGAGCAGAGTCGAGCACCTGTTGTGATGCATATGGGGTTCGCTCGTGAGCTACAGACATTTTTGTGGCTTTTTCTCGTTGCTTGAAGTAGTTTGACGTCTTGGTGGCGAAAGGAGGGGAAATACGGGTTGGGAAGGGCTGCATTTTTTTCCTGCAGGAGCAAAGGTCCATGTAGGGCGGCTCGGGACTTGAATCACTCAAAACTTGGGAAGATACGGCTGTTGGACGGGGAACGTTTCGGCACGCCTGAGTAGCAAGCGAATATGTTGCATATGCCGGTCATTTGCGTATTAGGTTACCGATGAAGATAGACCAGCAGAAGGGTAAACAGGTCGCCAAGACGGTCAAATAAAAGACTCGGATGAGAAGAAAATCTCTGATGCATATGTTGTACAATCGATGTTGTGTTTTGCGTTTCTGGAACTCGCGAAGTGGAGGTGAAGGGTGAGTGATAACCAAAAGTAGCAGATTTTGGGTAGCGAAGAGCAGCCATGGGGCGCGATAAGGTTCGAGATGGAAAGGACGTTGATTCTGACGTACACCATATGCTGTATATGTAGTGCCGTGCGTCTTCTAATATTAATGACATGGACAATGAAGAGCAAAGAGCAGGAGGGGTAAGTAAGTAGCTTATATTGGACGTAGTTTGAGATGATATTGAGGGTCTCGCCAATCCGTCTACAGCCAAGATCTTGCAAGGAATTCCCTCAAATATGGACACAATGTCGTGGCTTTGGAAAGCAGGAAGCCAGGCCGAGGATAGGCTATCTGGAAATGGTGGTCGCAAGTTCTCGGATATGTTCGAGATAGCGCATGGCTCTACGACAGCACTCGTGAGAGGTGTGTGGAATAACTTAATGACAACAGCACGGTTTGCGATTACCTTATTCCTCAAGGCGCTGGTTTTCTTGTTATTCTCATGTGATATTATTAGGCTTGGACAAATGCCTTGTCGAGAAATTGCGAACTGTTAATATGACTTACCGATGTCGAGAATTTTCCAAGCATTTTTGTTGAGTTTTCATTCTGCACTCTTGTATCATTGATGTTATATGAAGTAAGTCTAAAATCTCTTGCTGAATCCTGGCCGGTTTTATTGAGGAGACACGTTACAGACTTAATTAGAGATTGTAAACGGGAACAAAGAACTCCGAGTATCCAATATACTGGTTGACAAACGAAATATTGTGTACCTGTGCTTGCTACATCTATAGTAGATCGTTCCCAGAGGTACATGACTATAGTAATAGGTCATGTAAAAAAGAGAAAAAGTCTGGATGTTTTAAACACAAAATTGAATGCCTGCCATTACAGTGAGGGGTATACGAAGACAAAACCCCAAAGTACTTACGGAACAACCCAATGTACAACCTGACTTGATTATAAAGCGTACACTTGCGAACTCATGTTGTGGACCCCAGCGCCCTGGCAACTATAGTCATCCCACAAGCTATCGCTAGATTGGTTGCTTCCAATATAGCCTGGGTTTCTCGGCTGGGCTGAACCGGCTTGTGGTTCGGGAGGCTTGCGCCTAAAGGCTTTGCATAAGAGGCACACTCACCACTTAATAACAACGTGGTTTGACAGATATTGCTCATCTATTCCCTAGCCCGACACGGAAGGAACTGTATCTTCCTGATATTGAGAGCTCTGTAACTGATAGGAAGAGCTCGAATCGTGCATATTGTTTAGAGTGGTAGGTGTGTTGTTACTGTCTTACTAAATCGGCCGCCAAAGTACTGAAGATGACGTTTTAATTTTAATTCCCTAATTGTTCATATGTTAACCATTTGTAAAAGATCTTGATCATTATCTAGATTGACTATATATACTGAAACATCAAATTAGGAGTCACCTACTACTTTGTCTATTTCACCGTCTTTTCTCCCTACCACTAATTTAAACTTTGGTGTAAGGTCATTAGGGGTAGAAGGACATCAACTCTTCTCCATCAGCGCTAGGACTGAAAATTATTTTAGAACTCATTCAATGCCATAAATCTGAATATCGTTAACGTTTACCAGAAGGTAAGCCTTACTTACTGGTCAATATATGTTTCGCGTCTAATACTAAGTCGGATTGTCGCCGGCGAGCTTCGTACTTTTTCTCTACTACCGGATTACTATAGCACCATGAGTTTTACTTATCAGTGGTACCGGGTAATGGATGTCAGGGATAATATAAATATACTATAAAATTTGTCGCTGACCATCACCGTTTTGGCGTCTAACGTCCGATGTTAAATGCCGAATACAGTGTCTCGCTTAACCTTCGAGTTAACTTGCGCTTTGTTTACGCAGGTTTCTGTTACTGACTGAATACACGAAAAATATGTATGTTTAGCTGTCAAGGGATGAGTGTTCATTTAGAGTTTATAAAATACCAAGGGAGAAGCTATAATCTAAAAATCTGACTTTACAAACTCATCCTCAATAACTTTGAGGCTAAAGAATCCCATCTCCTCATGTCTGGCCCACTTCGCGTCTCCGGAGTTTTTGGTTATCCCCTATAGCAGCCTCCGGGGCAGGCTATAGTAAGAGCGTTAAATTCCCCGTGTCTAATTTTAATAAGTGTACTCTTACGTTGCCATTTAAAAGTCGGAGCTGATGTTTGGGAATCTTAACTTTCTGCTTTCGTCTCGAAAGGTAACCTGGTGGACCTACAGAAATACCCCCAAAGTTAATTGAACGTTATGATGATCCACTACCCCTCCCCCGATAATATGTCTCAACATCTTTGGATTCACATAAAATCATTTTCTGTGTGCTGTACCGTACCACTCGAACAGGCAAACAGTACCCTTAATTGCGCCTGCGGGTTCGGAATCGTATTATAATCTACTCGCAGCATTATCCAGATTCGGTCGTTCAACGAGTTTAGCCTCGCTAAACACTACTACTGAGAGAAGATGGCTATGATACTTGTCATCATAACGGGCAGAGCTACAAGGATGGCTCTTCATTTCGTGAGATAAACATAAAGTAAGTACCAAGCAAGTCCCGATTAGCGACCTGCACAGCTAATTGTAACCCTTCAAAGCTCTTCGTATTTGTGAAAATTAGAGATGAACACTTACTTACAAACTGTGATATATCATCGATAGTACAGTAATCATTACCACTACAATTTTATCAATCGGCAATGCTCCCATCGCAGAGCCCAACGTATCAGAGAGTGACGAAAAGCTGGCATCTTTTCCATGCCTCGAGCATTCTTCAATATTAGCCAGACTTTTTGTCAGGTAGCATGAATTAAAGAAACCCAGAAGACGTTCTCCCGTCTATTGTGATGACAGTTCTTTGATGTCGAAATCGAAGTTATATTTATTCCCCATAGAATTACGCAGAGATATTTCGGCAACTAGACGTATGTCCATCTACACTCGGCTTTTTAAGAAAAGAAAGCAAGAATACAGGGGTGAGCCGATAGAGTGCGATCCTTGGTGAAGATAGAGGTTGTACCATAGCAATAGGAAGAAGTTGTAGTATGACAATAGGACGAAGGATTCTGGAAGCGTCGAATAAGAGGTTGTCCCGGAACCACCAGATCTCTGACGAAAGTTCTTCTTTGTTCCTTTGCCTAAAACCTGAAAATACATTCAGCATCTTAAATCCCTACAGTACTCATGACTGCAGCAGGCCTAGCCCTACGAACGCAACCACTACGGCTCCTCCACATAACGTCCAAATTCCCGCATCCCATCCCTTCGGGCCCTGGGTAGCGACCCACGTATCCGTCACACACACAAGAGTCCAGGCCGTTGTCAGAACTCCCATTTCCCTTTCCTTCCCTTCACGGTAAAACCAAAACATAGTTGCTGCAGCGGCAACATCCCGGATCCCGAGGAAAACCATTGCTTTGCTGGTGACTGTGCGTCCTTCTGATGTGGTCGGTAGGACTCCCAAAGATTCTGCAGCAACAGCTGGCGAAAGTATGGCCAGACCTCCGAGAGCGAAAATGGTCATTGTGAGGCCAAGACCCACCATACGCCATGTAGAGTGAGTGAGGAGGCTGTTGGGAAAAGTCATTTTATCACCGGGGGGCTGCTCTGGGTTTTTTGTTTTGGATTCAGCAATGGCATTCAGCAATAGTAAAAGGTGAGAGACAGATGTGGGAAGCTCGGTTGCAGAGGTGAACTCTCCATGGCTCTACCTAAGATTAATACCAGCAACTTTAAGGCTGCTTCGGATTCTTCGAACAATGCGGACAATGCGGACAATGCGGACAATGCGGACAATTCTGTTCGAACTTCGGAGCGTTACACATTGATTCGATGAGGCTGAGAAGGATAGTCTTGGCCAGGGATCTACCTGGTAACCAGAACTGTAAATTTTGAAGATGAGAGACCGATGATTAGTGAACATTGGAATTGCGCATGTGATGTTAATGATATGTAAGCGCACGAGTCATCCTGGTGATATTCACCGCCCACATTACCAAAGGTAATACGGAGGCGGCTCGACTAGTCTGTATACTTCGAAGGATGTTGGAGGTAATTCCATATTCACTGCCAAATTCTTGGGCGAGTTGGCAAACCGATATTTGTTATCTATTACCAAGAGCTTGGCGCCCCTTTTACTTTGAAGTAAATCGACGCCAAGCGTTCCAAACTTCATTGGCCGAAAATAATTTCCCTGTTTACAACCGATCGTGAACAGTGTCCGGCTCCCACACACCTAGCCGATTGCTGGGCTGGTATCTAGGAACCTAGCACCTTTGTAATAAAACATGTAATCACTTTAGACACTTGTTCATCATGTCCGATCGGCGATGGTTGTTTAATAAGGCTCAACATGTTGTACGGATGTCGAAATGCCCAGATCCGAATGTCGACCACGTTCGGGTGCTGTGCAACATCTTCGAGTCTGCGATAACCACGGCAGGACTAAATTGTAGCCTACAAGAGCAAAAATCGAATCCCGGTCAGTGTGCGATAAATTTTCGCTACAAACCCCTAGCTCAATAATAGTAATAGTCAGGAAGTCGAACGAACACCTATAAAAATAAAGAGCGAGCCCCGGGAGAGTTGTGGCAGTACATTGGTTAACTAAGGCTTTTATTATACCACCTTCTCAGTATCGCTACATCCATTGAAATCTTTCTTTTCATCATGCCCTCTCCTAAACTTATAGTCATCCTAGGAGCCACTGGCAACCAGGGCGGCTCTGTCGCCAACGTCTTTCTCGCGGAATCTGGCTGGCAAGTTCGCGCTCTCACTCGAAACACATCAAACTGAAAGGCTCAAGCATTGGCAGCACGTGGAGCCCAGGTCGTCCATGCCGATCTCGAGATGCCTAGTACGTTGGCCGCCGCTTTCGAGGGTGCTCATGCTATTTTTGCCGTCAGTGACTTTTGGGGACTGTACGCTGATCCTTCCAACCAAAACAAGCCAAAAGCCGGTCAGCCATTAAATGCGTGGGCAGGTGAGCATGAAACTCAGCAGCTGAAGCATGCTATCGATGCAGCAGCAAAAATCCCAACACTAGAGCGCTTCATCCTCTCCTCGCTTACGAACGTGACGAAGTGGTCCAAAGGAAAGTATACTCGTGTATATCACTTTGATTCGAAAGCAAATGCAGCGGATTATGGCAAGCAGACATATCCCGACGTGTGGAAGAAGACGAGTATCTTTCAAGCAGGCATGTTTTTGAGCAACTATATCAACAACCCCATTATGAAACCAATCAAGGTAGGTATTTTCAGTTAAGATTGATTCAAGTTCGCTAACATGTTCAGAGCAAGGATGGAACGGTCGAGTTTCTCTGGAATGTGGAGCCGCACGTGAAGCTCCCGTTCATTGCTGCTGAGGAGGACACCGGTCCTATTGTGAAAGAACTCGTTGCCAACGAGGAAGCGGAAAAGAACATCATTGCTTACAGAGAATACCTGAGTGGGCAAGAACTAGCTTTGTGCTTCGAAAAGGCCACTGGTTTGAAGGCTAAGTCAGTCAATCTGCCTAGGGGTAGTTTCAGTGTGCCTTTGCCCGATGAGTTGAAGGGTGAACTTGAAGACAACTTTGCAGCCTTTGGTGAGTTTGGCTACGAATCTTGGGAGGATCTTAGTATCATCCACCCTCAAGATGTAAGCTGATCTAAACTGCTGACGTATTGATTGTAAACTAATACATTTGACAAGTTGAAGTCACCACCGTCACTCGACACCGTCGAGAATTACTTTAAGAAGCAAGATTTATCAATGATCTTTCGTACCTAAAATTGGACAAAATATTTCTATTGGAATATTACAGAAAAGGCCCAAAAAAATTGATAGATTCAAAAATGAGTCTATATAAATGTTAGCTAAGAAATCCATTTATCTTCTTGTACTACATCTAGTCGGATAGCACCAGATTGATTCAGCCATGGATATGGAATAGGGGTCGAAAATGCCATGATGATCGAGAATGAATAGCTCTTATTCTATGTGTTTTGTTGATTGGAATGGAAATTTGTACATTCGTTAAGATTCATTCGAATTAATTATTCACAAGCCTAATCTCTTAGCAACAGTATCAGCTCCCGTACCCCTGACAGACAAGTGGTCCGCATTTCTACTTGAGAATTTTCATAAATGCGTACTTTCTAGCAGCTATACCCTCTGCTTATAGGAGTCACCACCGGTGATTACGTAAATTCTGTGAATTCTGACCCTGCTACAAGCCACCGGAGTTATGCAAAAAATGCGTACTACAGTTCAATACGTCCTCGGAAGAAACTTCATTTTAGTATCACATAACTACTGTCAACGAGATGTCTTCGGACAGAATGACGCAGATAATATTACAAAAGAGGATCCTACACCGAAATTGGGATATCTGGACGAGTCATGTGAAACTAGTTAAGGAAGCTATCTTTGAAGTTACAGTTTTCAATACTCCAAAGCTTCTTGAACTTCCGGAGATTTGATCAGGTTCTCTACTTGCAGCCCTAGGGATTCCGATCACAGTTAAAACCCCAAATGTGGGAAATGCCACAGAATCATCCAAATGCAGGTTTCAGCTTGTAGGCATGGCTCGTTTGGAACGCGTGCACAATTAGTAATATCATGAATTCCTTAGCTGACAGTGAAAATCTGGGTCAAGAGCGATATGCAATTTGCCGATGGACTTACCAGACAGAGTCAAGGAGCAATTTCAGCGGCGATGGAGGAAAACGGCAAGAATATAGGACGTCCGTTTGCCTCGGGTGAGAATAGTGTAGGTTCTTTCTGTCGCCGATTTTATGTCACCAAACGAGGAGCCAGATTTTAATTCCCAACACTACTAACAACGACGTTATTGGGAGTGCGGAGCCATAAAGCTTCTCCACAAATTGGTGTGTGTTATCAATTGTCTCGCGGTAGCTTCCATATACGCTATTCTTTAACAGTTATAAATCCTCCAAGTCAACCCGGTATCTCTCGACTCTACTCGACTTCGAGGTACTTCCAAGACACGTACGATATATCCTAAGATCGTTGTCTCGGATTCTTTGAGCGAGCTTTCTTGAATTATACGGAAGAAATAATATCCGGAGCACTGTTCTACGTGGCAATTTTGGACGAGGTTAAAGCGTGAATGAAGAGGGCCGGCTCTCGCTGCTGGCATCCAAGGAATATCTATGCTATGTTACCACTTGAGAAGGGTGGTATTGTTGACAACAGACTTCTGATTTACAGTACGGAGAATCTCCGTGGCGTGGATGCCAGTATTTACCATTAATAAGTAGAGGTAATCGACAGAGTACACTCTACACTGTTGCCAAGAAAGCCTTGGATAAACCAGATCATGATAATATGATGTAGCTCAATTAACGCAAACCGCCGGTGAAATTTCATGGTGTCACTGTTCATATTCTTATCGGCTTTTTTTTAGACTATGCTAAAATAACAGAATCATGGTGCTTGATTGCTCTTTGTTAAAAGAAAGAAACCTTCTGATACTATGATATTTTGTTTCTCTGTATACAGCCGTGAGGCAGTACTACAGTATTCTACTACAAGGTAATATGAGACATGAACTTGGATCTCATGAAATGAATGGAATCGCTCACGAAAGCTTTTCCACCTTTTCTAACATATATAATAGTCGGTAGATCCTTGTCTTACGCGTCTACGTAGACTTAGGGAAACCAGGTTTCCTAGTTCAAATGGGTGGATAATCGCGATTTTTTATGTACCAAATTTCGGCCTTTTAATTTTCGAAAAAGCGGGTTCCAAATCGGTTATAAAAAGCACCTATTTGAGCTAGGACACTTGGTCTCCCTGACTCTAAGCGAACGCGCAAGAGAAGGATCCACCGACTATTATAAACACAAGTCTTGAAAGACATATCGTTAGTGGAGAAACGTACTTTCGAGTTCTGTTCGAACTCATACCAACCTTGCAAGCATTGGCTGTAAAGTACTACGGAGTGAAAACTACATACTTTCAAATAAGCGTTAATACTTTTGAGACTGCTGAAGCGGTCGGGTTGAAGCTATAGTAACTGCGACATGTTTCTAAGCTGTGATATCTCTCAGTATTTCTTCTACTAATGTAGAGGATCGATTCTCCAGAACTTTAATAACTTTGTTGGACATATTTTCAAACACCGGATTACCCGAGCGCTTAGGAGGAGAAAAAGGAAATGCGATGAACTTCAGGCTTTTTGTTATCTTTGTGTATTTAGCCTATGGTTCGAGGCTTCGTTGTTCGCTGAGTAAGTTCAGCAATTGCAATACAGCAAAATTGCTTTACTGTTGTGTGGTCGTATCTAACGTAGGGGTTGGTTTGCTTATGAGGCATAGCTAAATCTAATATATCTTTCAAACAAGCAAATTTATATCGTTAGTTCAAGCGAATGTAGCTTTAATTTATGTTAACAAGTACAAGATGGATTAGCAAGCAGAATTGGTAAATGTGTAAGCGGAAAATGAAGAAATGTTAATATGATGATACAAATGTTTTACTGTTGGTTCCCAAGACTATGTATCGGGTAATTGTATTTTGTTGTCATATTCGAGAACCTTGCACAACTATACGTTTGCACCCTTACTGAATACGCATGCAGTCAGCACTAGTGTTGGCAGAGTTGTAGCTCAATATAAGGAAGGGTTGTATCCGAGGTTCATCGAAAATTAAACTGTTGAATAGCTTTCTCGGAGGTCTCTAATGATCGACATGATCTATACTTTATAAATTGAGAGCTTGAGGTTCGATTTGAAATAAGTGAGCCACGAGGACAATGTTTGCGTTTGATTCGCTATAGTGGGGGACGTATTCGTTTATAGATTAAAATATGATTTGAAAAAATCCTGGGTAATTAATAAATTCGGTTGGGAGGAGACAGATAACTGACACACTGTGCAGTTTATTACGTACGTTCTTCCAGTGTCTCAGAGTCTCTTTTTATCCGGGACCCCCAAGTCCAACTCAACGTATGCGGCATGGCCAGAAGAATTTGTTGTTTCTGAGAAATCTGATTTTACCAACCGTGGGCTTGACAGAATGGGTACTCGGCAAATTCATTTTGTTGGTTTGACGAAACAGTGACAGTGAACGAAACGTCGCACAACGTCCCAACATGTTGACGCACGTGTTATTTAGATGTTGGATTGCACCTTCCACATGAGGCAGCGGTGAGCCGTGGATGACGAGTTTTTGCTTCTCGATCAATAATTGGTCTCCTATGATTGAAAACGAGCAATGAGAAGAAAGAATAGTAAACATCATCCTCATCTTAGACACACTTGTTAACCTGCTCTTTTACTACAATCCCTTGATATTGCACTTGTAAAGTCAAGCGAACGCCGCAATCGAGACTCAGTATGGGATTCACTGTCTATGAAGTAACAAATCCTGATGTTGAATTCGGGCCAATTGTGGAAGCTGAAGCTGTGGCATACGGGAACCCCCCTAGCGCATTTTGGAATGCAATGAAAGGGCCTATGAAGGGCAAGTCTCTTCGGGAGGTGACAGAACGACAAATTTTGTGGCACAAAATGGATCTATGCAAAAGATAATGAAACTAATGAAGTTGTCGGTGCCATGAATTGGAATTTCTACGAAACTAATCCTTTCTCAAATGGCTCGTCGGGACCTCTGGTGTACTGGTGGGAAGGAGAGTACTACTAAGACGAGACGAGTCAAAGCGATTCAAACTGACTTCTGATAGGTCCCGAGAAGGCTCTCGTAGAACAATTCCTGGGTCCGTTCTTTCATACACGTCAAAAGCATATGGGCAAGCCGCACGTCCGTAAGTAGAGTAACGTCTTTGTTTGGGTAGGATCTTAACTGATAAGAAATAGTTATCAATATATGCTTTGTGGATCCGGAACGCAGACACGAAGGGGTCGGAAATCGAATGCTGAGATGGGGTCTCAATAAAGCGGATGAAATGAACTTGGAAACCTGGGTCGAGTCCAGCCAAAATGGGCGTGACTTTTACAAAGCCAATGGCTTTTTGCACGTCGAAGATGAAATACTTGATCCGGTGGTTGCGGAATCAGACGGTCCAAAGTTGGCGGACGTGAAGGAGATCTGGTACAAAAAGCGATTGCTCCCTTTCATGATTGACATCATGAAGAGACCTACTCGAGAAAACGATGACTAGTCTCTCCCTGGTTGTCGTAAAGTTGGGAAGAAGGGTCGCTGAATTCTTATAGGGTGGAGGTACTTCAGGCATCTTTGATTTTTCCATTATACAGTTTTATTCTTAGTGATAACACGTTCGTCTACAAAGTGATATTCCAAGAGGAGACCCTTGAATGTACGGAAATATGCTCTTCACTATTATTCACGTAGCGTGTCTGTATATTGTAGATTTATGTCGTTGTAGTGAGAACTAACCCTTATTCTGATAGACATGCTGTGACTACTGGGAGTAATGTGTGGATCCTGCGCTGTGTTACTTCTGGCAGCATTGTAACTGTGAACCTGTCAAGCTCGTTCTCTCAAGCAGTAACGATGGGGAGATTAGCTGTGTTTGCTAGAAGGCAGTTAACAAAGTGGCTCCTACGCTCAGCAATAGTGGCATATGTGCACCTACTGACCCCATGTTTGCTCGATCGGCACAGAATATTAAAAGTGGACATTGTAGCTAAAGAAAAGGCATTGGAGGCTTTTAAAACTTCAATGTTGATGGCATTAAATGCATTTGTACGTCATGAAAAAATGATATGCCAAACGGTCAACCTACACAAAGATACTCGACTTGGAATGAGGTCGATACCCGGGTGATGAGTAGTGACGGTGTGTGACAAATCATCTACTGCCCCGAAAAATAAGCGCACTATACAAGGGTTGGGAAAAGCGAAGTATGTTTACTCGGAAAATATATGCACTTTAGTATAACAAACAAGCGCTTAATTCGACGAACATAAGCCCTATCTAGATGCGGAAAAATAGATGTTCGTAGCTTGTCTCCACAGCTACTGGACCAAAACCCTCAATCCCTTTTCACTTGCAGGGAATGGACTGAAGAAGTCATGCACTTGCACTATATCATCTTCAAACGTGTCAAATAATTCAAGTTCAAGCTCCATGAAAACTTTCGCAATTGCGACGTAAAGTTCTGATGAGGCGAGGCTTCGAATGTCAATAGTGATTCACTGGGAGGGGAAAGGGGGAAAAGCTCACTGAACACCAACACATGAACGACTACCTTTTCCAAAGGGTTGAACATATCTTTCAAGACGTCTTCGGTCACTGGGATCCATCCATCGCTCTGGAAGAAAGGAATTCGGTTTTGGGAATATGTCAGCGTTGTAATGAGTGAGTCGTTGAGTTGTCGAAACTGGGGTCTGTGATAGGGTTAGATTGTCTCTAGCAAATAATTCTACCACTAACATTGATTGGAATATGTTGATCTTTGTATCTAATTGCCTCTCTTGGGTTAGTTCGGGGGAGGCGCCCAGCTACACTGGACGATACACTTTGATTTATAAGCTAACTTATAACCCCCTCTACGCATGGTTTGGTGGACTTACCGATGTCCCTCAAGAATAACGGAGGACTGGAAATTTATCAGTAGTAGAATGTCTGCGGATAGAAGGCCACAAACTAGATAGGAAAGCTTAGCAAGCTGTTGGTAGGTCAAAGGCTTCAAGCTCGCTCGCTGGGCCGCCCTCAATTCCATCTTCAATTTCATCGCCATGTCCGGGTTCGCCAGTAGATGATAAGTCATAACAACTAATGTATTACCCGTGGTTTCTGTACCGGCACCAACAAAGGTTCGAACTTCCAAAGCCAGACGGAACTCCGTCTTATCTTTTACTGGTAACTCTGGGGAGTCGAGCATTTGATGTATCACATTGGATCTTTCGTAGACCTGTGCGTCGGAACTTTGCTTAGTACCTCCTCGCATGTACGCAGCGACAATCTCCTTCGTTCGAACCCCAATATCCTAGATCAGGCACGTTAGCATACAAATAAAATAAAATGCCAGAGTAAACTCAGCATCGCACATTAAAAAAATCTAGCACATCTACTCCATTTGGATTCACAACTTTTACCAGCCAGCGAGGCATTAGATCCATCAGATCTAAGATGATGCCGAAGTGTCGGTGCCACAGTCCTATTTCAGGAAAGTCTCGAAGCGTCTTGTGGAACGCCGCGGCAAAGTCGGGTTGTTCCAACAAGCCATACGACTTGTGAAATGAGAATTCCGTAACGACATCTGTGGCTAGCGATCGAAAAACGTTTGACAGATTGACGGGTTGGCGGGTTTCTTTGAACTCTTGTAGTCTTTGGCAAAGTTTTCCTGTGATGTTGGCTAGTACAGGTTCAAATTTCGCAACAGCACCCAAGGTAAAATAACCCTGCTGAGCCTTTCGTCGAATCCGATGCTTTTCGTGATCAGACGTCCCGAATGCTGCATCCGAGGAACCAACGAACTTGTAGTACCAGTGATATTTGTCGACGCGGGAGCCTACTTTATATGGCTCATTCCAATCTGGGTCGTTCACATGTAACTCCCAGGGACTAATGCGAACAATTGGACCTATATAACGACCTTGGTCAGTTTGGTTTTCGATGAAGTACAAGACGCCGGCAGTAGATCTCACCGTATTGCTCGTGCATCCGCTCGATCTCAACCCAGTATCTCCCTCTTTGTACACATTCGAAATACGTCTCATACCATCCTGTTAAAGCAGCCAATTTAGGACCAGGAAAGCTTGCAAGTGGTCCAAACCATATGCGGTAAACGACTACAAGACCGACCCAAAGTAGCGACAATGTAATAATATCCCACGGAGTTAACAGATTAACTATAGTAGCTGTATAGTCGCTAATGGCCGAGAAATTAGCCATTGTTGTTACCTAAGGTGTAAGATAAGAGCGATAATGTTAAAAGGTAAATATTATAATTTAAAGATCGCGCCTTAACCGAGTTTCTACCTTAGTATATACTTAAAAATTAACTAAATTACTCTACTTAAAATAATAAATTAAATTTATTAGTATTTTTTTAGTATTATCTTATATAGAGTATAGACTTAAGTAAGTCTAGTTTTAGACCTATATATAAAAATTATATTACTAAAATAGTAGTAATATATAATTATAAAAATATAAGAAAATATCTCTATAAATATTTAGTCTTAATCTCTAAAGATATAAAAGATAATTAAAATTTATCTTTTAATTATCTTTTATACTTTTAGGAAGTTATATTATTTAGTAGTAGGAGAAATATTTAGTAATAATATAGTAACTAAAAGTAATATAGAAGCTACTCTTTAAGCTTATAATATAGCTCTTAATTTTAATTTTACTAAGATTAAGTAGTAAATAATATAATAAAGTAAGCTATTTTATACTTTCTAGATACTATAAAGACTAGACTATCTTAAAAGTAACTACTAACTTAATTTATTATTAATATCTTACTATATTTTAAAAAGAGTAATTAATTACTTAAATAAACTAGTTATTAGTATAGTATATATCTTTAATAAGTTAGTAAATAGTATATAGTATATAATATAGCTAAAGAGATTAAAGAAAAGTTTATAAGTAAAAACTAAATCTTATTTTTTTTAACTACTATAAGTCTAAATTACTTAATAAGTACTTTAGAAATATTAATAACTTATATATTTATACTAAGTTTATCTTATTATTTAAAGACTTCTATTATCTTATACTTTCTCTTACTTTTATTACTTTTCTCTTTACTTATTTTACTATATAATTACTAGAAAAGATAGACTAATAGTAAAGTACTAGTTTTAGTAAGTAGTTGATTTCTACTATATTTTCTATAATTATATTTATAATATAAATATAAAAAAGAGTTTCTTTAAGGCTTTATATATATAGTAATAAGAATAATAATAAGAAAAGAGTATAATAGTAGTTAAGTTTATTTAAATTATTAAAATATAAGTTATAAGTTTATAACTCTAATAACTACTATTTATACTAATAGTATAGTAGTTTCTCTAGTTTTAATTTATAAGAGTATCTCTAGAGATCTTTAAAGCTTACTTAGTATAGATTAAAGAGATAAATACTTAAGATAAAGCTTTCTTTAACTTTTTACTAATAAAGTAAAGTAATAATAAATTTAGTTAATATAACTAAAGAAAGTTTTTTATATAACTATAATTTAAAAATTTAAAATAAAGTATTACTAATAACTTCTTATTATAAATAGCTACTATTTATATATTATTATAAGAGTTTTTATTATTTATAATAAACTTAGAATTATAGTATTAATCTTAGTATTTTATATAATCTATTCTCTTTAGTTACTTAATATTAATTTATTTAGACTACTTACTAGTTATTATATTATAGACTAAGTTAGTTATATAGATAATATAGTTTATATTATAGACTAGGTTAGTTACGTAGGTAATATAGTTTAGGTATACTACTAGAGAGTAGCTTAGGCTACTTACTAGTACGTAACTAAGTATAAGACTATATATATTAGATACTTAGCTATTCTAAACCTAAGAAGTTAGACTTATTTAATATACTAAACCTCTACTCTACCTATATACTACGTAATAGTTATAAGCTCGGTATATAGCTCTATAGCTACGTATATTAACTTTATAAGTATTATAATATAAAGAAGAAGTCCTATAAGACCTTACTTTATTTCTATAATTTCTCTAAATTAATTTATACTTCTTTATTTATATTACTTTAAAGAGATATAATAACTATAATAACTATTATTAAGATTAGTACTTAGGACTATTTATACGTAAGTCTATACTAGATTAGATTCTATTCTATAATAAGTATCTTAACTTAGGCGAATAATATAGTATCTCTAAGTATATCGACTTAGAAGTTCTATACTACTTAGACGACTATCTATTAAGGTCTAAAGGACTAGTTTAAGTTACTCTAGAGAATTATATTATTAAAGAGAAAAGAAAGGTAGTAGTAAAGACTTAGAGATTAATTAACGACTCTATCTATAATAGTATTAAGACCTTAACTCTAATACTAAGAGTCTTAATACTATCTATTCTAGAGGTAATTAATACTAAGGATATTAAGATTAAGAAGCTAGAATAATATAAGATTAAGTATAAAAGATTAATATTTAAGTATAAAGTAAGAGTAACTTAATATAATTAGTATATTCTCTTTTATAGAAAAATTTAAAAGTAGATATCTAACTATATTCTAAACTTAGTCTATAATACTAAGTATATACTTATATAATCCGCTAGTATACCTTATTCTCTTAAGTAATTAGTTACTAGGTATAAGAAAAGATTTACCTCTAGTAATACTATAGTAGCTCTTACTACTCTTAAAGTCTATAAAGTATATATAACTAAGGTAGCTAAATATAACGATTTAGTTCTTTACTCGATAGTAGACTAGAGTATCGTAAGGTTAGTATATAGTAAGTAGCGGTACAAAGTATTACTTATAGATTTAGAGATCTATTTATTATAATAAGAGTAAGTTAAACCGATAATATACTATTACTAGAGTAAGTTAAGTATAAAGCTTCTATTTAAGAAAATTATAATTATTATATAGAACTTTCTACCTTACCTAAGTTTTAACGAGTTTAATAAGTTTAATAAGTTTAATAGTAAATCTAGTAAACTTATTAAACTTCTACTTATTACGTAATACTACCTAAAACCGGGGCCTATCTACTAACCTAAATATAGCTAATATTAACTAAATAAAACTACTAGATAGTAGTCTTAGAAACTACTTAATTCCTATAATCTCGTCTAATCTTAAGACCTTTAGTCTTAAGAGTATTACGACGCTATAGCCGATACTACTCGTAATACTATCCTCTATTTAGACTAGCGGTTCTATATACTTAAGTATAACTAAGAAATACGTTAGTTAAAGGCTATAGACTTCTCTTCTTTCTAATATACTACTTAACTATACGACTAAACGTTCTAATATTATAGCTCTTAGAAAATAAATTAAATTAACTAAAAGAAAGATAGCGTCTTATTCTTATTATAAAAAGACTAGAAAAACGTATATAGTTTTATAAAACCTAAACTATAGTCGTTATAGTACCTATACTACTACTAGTAAGACTTATAATATAAAAAAGGTAAACCGGATACCTATAGAATTTAACTAGAAGAGTATTAAGACTTAAAAGGCTAAGCTAGAGGCTAAAGAAGAGAAGGTATAGAACCTCTAGTAGAAGGCGTAGACGGTCTAATAAGAGGCTACTTTTCGCGCCTTACGTATTAAGAAGTAAAAACGCTTTTTTTATAAGTAAAAATAGAAGATAATTTCTATAAGTCTTAACTTATTAGATAAGTTAGATAAGTTAAAAAGAAAAGAGTAGTAGAAAGAAGAGAAGAAGAAAGAAAAGAAAAAGAGAGAAGTAGAAGTAGAATAACTACTAGCTTACTCTACCTTACCTAACGACTTCTCTACTTATAACCTATTACTACTTAATCCGAATTTCGATCTTAGGTCTTTCTAAGAAGCCCTAGATACTAGTAGTAGAACTTCTTAAGCTACTTTAAGTAGTTAAAGTTATTTATTAGTTCTTATATATTTTCTAATTATAAGTAGTCTTTCTATTTTATTAGATAATATAGTTTTCTTTTAATAAGTTTATAGTTTAAAATTCTCTTAACTTTATACTTAGTATTAAGGTTTACTAGTTTTATTTCTATAACTAGAGCTAGTAGTACTCTAAGTAGTACTAACTCGAAAAAGGATATATAAAATACTAGAAAGATATTTATATTCTTAGATAGAGCTAATTTATAGTTTAAGTATCTTTTAAGTACTTTAATTTTAAATAGTTCTAATTTCTTATTATTTAGTTTATTACTTAGTTATTTTATTTAAATATTACGTCTAATTAAATAAACTCTATCTCTCTTTTATAGTATAGGCTCCTAACTACGTTCTTTATTATAGTAATATACGTTTCTCTTAGTAATAAACTTAAGTTCTTTAATAAGTTTTCTATAAAGAGAGAAAAGGTTATTAATAAGGATTCTTTCTACTTAGTTATTAATTTTTATATTATAGAGTTCTTAGAACGTAGTTTTCTTATAACTAAAGTTAGCTTTAAATAGTAATACTTATATTATTTCTATAAGTATACTATTATATATAAACTAGGCTATAAGTAGTAGTATAACCTAATTATCTTATTTATAGTTTATATAATACTTTAAGTATACTTTAACTATCTAGTTTATTCTCTTATTTTCTCTATTTATTTATAGATAGAATAAGGTTAATAGCTTTTACTTTATTTCTATATATACTATTACGGCCGTCTAGAGTTTAGATATAAATAGTTTATCTTAGTTAGAGATTATTCTCTCTAGAGTACTATAGTCTATAAATACGTATCGAATAAAGTATTACGAGTAGTATTGTCCTTAGCGTCTCGATACTTCTAGGACTAAAAGTCCCGGGATTAGACGAGGTTATAGAAACCGAGTAGTTTCTAAGACTACTATCTAGTAGTTTTATTTAGTTAATAATAGTTATAATTAGGTTAGTAGGTAGGCTCCGGTTTAGGGTACTATTACGTAATAATAAAAGTTCGATAGAATTACTAGACGAATATATTAAACTAGGTAGGAGTTCGACAAGTTTAACTAGCGAACTTATTATACTTAAGAAAGAGAAGTTCTATATAAATAATTATAATTTCCTTAGATAGAAGCTTTATACTTAACTTACTATAGTAATAGTATATTATCTATTTAACTTACTCTTATTATAATAAATATACCTTCGAGTATATAATCTAATAATCTTATATATACTTACTTATATACTAACCTAATAAAACCTCTATCTACTATATATAGAAT